GTGAAGAAACAGAGGGCCATTATCAACGGCCACAATCTTCCGGCGGTTATCTAAAAATGAAAGGTATCTCAGGTTCAGTTTTTTTTTTTCACTTTAGATATATGCCAATTTCTTTTTCTCACTTTGTAAGCATAAACTGCCAGCCAGTCGAACACTCCAGTTTCGGCGATGATGGCAACCAGCACCATCATGGAGAACAGTAGTAGCAGCGTGTCCATATCTATCCAAGAGATAAGTTCGCTCATACTCGGACGCTAAAATACAAAATTCCAAACGGAAAAATGATTTTGTTGAAATATCTAAAAATGTAACTAGATATAAATAGCTGAAAATTTTATTGGACCATAAAATAATTACGTGGGAATCTCAAGCATAATATGAGCTGCAAAAACTATCAATCAGTTTTAATGTTCTAATTATTATTTTGATGATTTAACAAAATTATTTTCAGATCTATAACTAAATTTTTAGATATTGTAAAATCGTCCTTTCCACTTTTTATATTTGTCTTTTAAAAAAGATTCCGTCATAGAAATTAAAAGAGCGTGTACTTGCGATACCTCATTTAAAGCCGCCAATATTGCGATGGACATCGTGGATGCCAGCATAGCAGCTAGAGCTCTGTGTACTACCTAATTCGATCAAATATGATGAGCATTTAGGAATCAACATAAATACATTATTAAGAATCTTTATTTTAGACCGCATATGTGAGAAACACAATCAATACTAGAAATTTAAAATGTTTTTACGATCGAAGCTGGATCTTCATTGCTTTAAAAATTAGTAATTCAATCTTGAATTACTAATATACACTAATATACACTAATATACACTATATGTGTACTTGCATATATACCATATTGTGGTCTTTTTCATATTTATAATAAATACATTCTAATTTGCGTACATAATTTACCTCGAAAATTATCAGGATGTATAAGATAATCAAGACAACTGCGGCAAGCGGTATACCGATATCGGCATTTATTGGCGATGAATCGTAGCCTATCGAAAGCGAAAGAATGGCTTTCGAATTTGTGCGCAGATTGATGAACATTATGCCTTGCGATAGGATTCTATAAACAAAACATTTGCTAACAAATTCTGAGATATCGTACTGCATGTGAGACTTTCAGATATTTCCGCTGGCCAACAATTTTGCCAACAAAATTTGTAATAAACATTTTGCAAAATTCATTTTTATTAGATTTAAATAATAGTAAAAATATGAGATAACATACTTGTCAGCTTTTATATGGAAAGTCTTCCGATGCTTCTGGTCAGGGAAAATGCTCGCCAAATTTTCAGGTAATACCGGCAAGGTCCACACGTCGCTTACGTTCTGCAATTAATGATTGCAAATATAGTATGGTGTAGCTAGTTTATAATTATCTAGTAAATAAATGCCTTTAGTCGATACCAACTAAAAGTAACATAACATTAGTGTTATAATTATATATGGTTGTGATGATAGGAAATGTATGTTAGGTTTACTATTTAATTATGGCTGTGATGATATAGATAATGAATGGCAAGAAAGTGCATGATAGAAAGTTACATAAAGACAGGTATTAAAATTTATTGAATATGAGACGTGCGATGAAGCACGGATGGATGGATGAATGAAAGTAAGAAATATTTGTGAACTATAATAAATCCCTTTTTTAATTATTCTGTCTAAGCTGAAGAGAAATAAATATTTATTAGTATTATAATTTCGCACAATGTAACTGTAACACCATGTGTTATATTACATTTATATTTTTGAATATGAAAGTATAACATTGATGTTACATTACTTTTTATTTGCTGACTAGGCATTTCAGTAGATTTAGCTATTTAAATAAATATGCGCAATATATATTCAATATAATCAAGATTAATTAATTTTATGAAATGTGTGTAAAAGAATGGCCGAAGGATATTTGTGATAAGTAATTTGTTAATATGACTGATTTCTTTTCTTCTTTCTCTGTTTCAGGCTTGGCTGGATTTGATTTCATGTTCTTTCGACGCAAACATAAGTGTATGCAGAATAATTTTGTATACGTTTAAAGATATAGACCTTCAAGTTCTTCAAATCAGTAATGGAGAGACGTGAATTGGTTTTTCTGTCCACCAGAACTTGCAGCCATACCATCAAATAGCATGTGGATAAATTCGCAGATAAATACTGTTCGTGTTTTTGTAACGGCAGCAATGGTCCTTTCATCGTCACGCTAATCAAGGTACTTGTAACATGTTCGTTGATTCGATAATCTATATCGTTATAAGGAGAATATGAGATTGATTGATGTTATACTATTTATGGAAATTTCGTCTCCTAAATCCCATCTTGCTCAAAATAGACAAAAATTCGTAGTTCGATTTTTTATGATTGACTAGAAGGATACTCCTACTTTCTCTGCTAGACACAGAAAGCTGATGCAGCGTCTCAATCCTCTCGTTCTTAAACATCAGTATCATCTGCAATATGAAGTAACGTGAGATTTATTAATTAATCACATTGATCTGATGGTTTTCTTACTGTGAATAGAAGCCAACAACAGGAGAGTATGATTAACTTCATGTAACGGCAAAAAGGCTTTTGTCTCTCCTGTATTTGCACATCTTGCCCGTCTTCGTCGACATTCTGATGTTGTATGCTGCGAAGATATCGGGATTAATTATTACATCCGTTCTGAGAATTTCTAGCATCTTGTTAAACTTCTCCCTTAATCGTGATATGTGATTTACCTGATTGATGTCGCGGGTGGCATTCCAAGAGACATATTGACAACCAGGCATTCTTTCTTCACGCAGTCCAGAGATCTGGAAACACATTATCTTTTGTTATGTAGAAATCCTTTTTCATCGATTTCTTAGGCTTATTTTGTTCACCTCGTTTCCGTTATTCGATCACATTCTTTCTGAAAGATCGCCAAACTCGGATCCAGGCGAATCGCTTCTGGTAATTGACTCCAGGCGTGGAGCACCTCTTCGGGAATTTGTCCGAATATCACAGAGCTCGAAATGGAGGAGGAGGGACTGATTGGGCTACACATAACTTTGGAAATATTTGTTATAGAATTATGTCCAAATTGCAATTGATTTCAGAACTACATGATTTTCTAAGAGACTCGAACATTTCAAGTTAGAGTTTTTAAAAGTTTTAATTGTGTATGCTTTGTAACTTAACAAGTGAAATTTTAATGAAAAATTATAAAATTAATGAAAAAATTAAAATTTTATTGAATTTTAATCTTATAATTGTTTTGTGTCTGACATTTAGAAAATAAATATCGTAAATATAGGTAATTTGGGATGATTTGTTAAATTCAATCTTAATATCCATCCATGTTTGAGTTTCTAAAGAAAGTTTAAATTTCAAATTTTCTTTAATGACTTATGGATGGACCACGATTGAATTTAACAAAAGTACGTGTTGTCTTAAGTCATCTACAGTGCATTACCAGAGTTGTGTATAGGAAATTTCCCATTGAGAGATTCATTGTGTGATCCGTGTAAAAATACAACGTCTAGTTCTGGGATTGATATAAATAGATTTCGTAATTCTTATATAAATTCTTATATAAATATACCTGAATTGTTATGAGAATTTGGATTGAGGTATATCTGTGACGGGTTAGATTCGTCGTCACTTGTATCGTTTTGTGACATTACAGGAATTATTTCAATTTGTCCGTTATCGTCTCTTATTATATACAAATTTTTAGTTGAATTAAAATGTTAGTTTTATTAAATTTGCACGCATTTTATGTACACGATGCCGCGCGCTATGTTGCGCCTCTGAAAACACTACTGACTGTAGAAATTGTTTCACTTGTATTCGTAAGATTTTCAGAGGTCACCTTATAGATTATTTACATTTTACATGGAATATAAACATGGAGTATATAGAAATTGGAATTATATTATATAAAGTGTACTATAGAAAATTATTTATCGAAATGTAAGCTCTCTAAACTCTTTGAAGTAGAATCTCATTCTAAAGAATAAAAATTGAGTCAATTTTGAAAAAGAGTAAGATTTCATTCTTTCATTAACTCTAAAAGATTTAAAGAGTATCCACAAATATAAAGATTTTTTACAATTCATGAAAAATAGCATTATATATATAAATATAATAAATAGAATTCATGAATAGCATTATACATAATATTATACATAAAATCAAATAGAAATGTAAGAAATAACTTTAAGGCATTAATAGCTTCAAACAATCATACTCGTGGAAAAAAATTAAACATATATGTTTGAAAAATAATTTTATTATACAGAAATTCATTATAATTTTACTATGATTTCGTGTATTAACATTGTGTCAATTATAATTAAAAATTAATCATTTTTTACACTATCAATTATATTAGCTGAAACAGTACAACTGTGGTCACACAATGGTTAAATTATCACATAATCAAAAGATTATTCTGTAACTCTTAACGATTGTAACTTACAGTGTATAGTTGTTGTGTAATTTTTTTACCATATATAAAACTAAGCAACCGACATATGACACTGTAATGCTATAGTTACAGTCAATAAGAGTTACAAAATAAGCCTCTAAGTATAACTCTATGAATTCATATACTGAAAAAAATTTTTGATTGAAAATGTAAACGAGCTAGAAAATTCTGATCACTTCAGAATTTTGATTATCTTAACTAGAATTATAAGATTCAATCAGAAAATTCTGATTTATCTATTTTCAACCAAAATTCCAATTAGTGTAACCAAACTTTCTTTCCAGTGTATGTCTATCGATAATTAAAAAAAAATACTTTTATACATTGAAAAATATAATTACAATCAATTAACAATCTCATAGATATGATATTAATGTATAAAAATATTATATACAATTGAAAAGATTAAAAGTAACTCAGACATTCATCAGACGTTTTTTGCACATATTTTATAAATATAATACAATAATCTTAATTATATTACATCGCACTGTGCTACAATCACATGTTAACGCATCTTTTGTTCTCGTATATCATTTTAAAAGTCTAAAAGCGACAGACAAACAGTTTTCATATGTCAACCAGTTTTCTCTGATGTTCCTAAACACTTCCCTTGTTCTTTTCCGCGTTGATCGACTTTTGCTGAATGATATTTTGCAGGTTCCGTATTTCGTACTTTTCCATCGTGTAGTTGTATCGGCAGTAGCACCAATAAACCACGGTGACTCCCATGTAGGATCCCAGGGCGACGTTCGTCGATAGTTTCGCGCGACTGGTGAACATGAAGGTGCCCAGGCCGGCTGCGAGACCGCTGTAGATACCGGACAGCATACTCTGCTTGAAACAGGGGATCTTCCTGATGTCTCGGCCGAACAGCATCACCGCCTTGGACTCATTTTCCTCATCCAAATTTTGAACGATCGCGTCTATGTTGTTATCCATGATAATACCAACGATTTTACGTAATCTTCGCGAGGTTTACGAGCAAGACACAAAGTAAGGTTAAGTTGGAGTTGTAATAGTCGTAATTTTTGCACTCTTTGCACTTTGTGCTCTTACCTTCTCTTTCTTCAGGTCGAACGCTGATTGGTCGCGGCGACGATGTGCGGGGTGCAGGGCGCCGGGTGACGTCGCACGACGCATGTTCCGTGCTATCGAATCCGAGTGACAGGTGGTGCGGCTCAGCCCGCTCAGCTCGGCTCAGCTCGGCTCTCAATCCCGTGCTGTGCACACACTTGGTACGTGATCGCTGGTGTGAATAACACGACCCATCGTGAACGTTTGACGTTGCCAAAAAGCGTGGCGCAACGCTGCACCTGTCCTTTGAAGGAAAATCAACGAGAAAGGAAGATACTCTACGGTCCTGTCACGTCGCACACGTCGCGAGGACGTGAATTGCGTGTTACTCCGAAAACGACACCCGGGACACCCGTCGTCATCCGTCCAAATTGTGTAAATCGCGGTGACATGCACGCACGATCACCCGTGCGTCGCTGCTCGTAGGTGCTCCACCCCTCCCCCGTGTTCAGTTCCTACGATGTGTACCACGTATCCGCGCGACTCACCCGGGAGATTCAGCTGCAGAAGAGGTAAGAGTTGTCAGTGTCGACTTCGGCGTCGTGTATCCCTCTGACACGATGATACCGTGACACGGGATCGATTGCGGTGTCCCTTAACCTTACCCATGAAAACAATCCGGAGTAACGTCATGAGAAGCTCATGTCACACATCGCACGTATGCATTAAAGATTGAGAAGTGTGAATTAGAGATGTTAGAATTCGACTAATTAGAACAAAATGAATTAAAATTATCTTACTGATAGAATTCTAATCTTCAATTCATCGTTAATCTTCTATGCCTAGTGTAACGTGACTTCTATGTAGCACAGAAGCTTGCAGCAATATTTTGATATTAATGTTACTGAAATGTTGCTGAAATATTGCTAGAATGATCTGTGTTGTATTCATACAGCATAGAAGTTTACAACAAAATGGTTACAAAGTTGCAGTGTTACTGCAATATTGTTGGAATGATTTGTGCTGCACATTGTTAATGTTAATGTGATATTGTTGGAACGTTACAGTGTTGCTGTAATATTGCTAGAATGACCTGTGATATAGCTTCTGTGATTTCATCACAGAACCTTGCAACAACATTTTTACAAAGTTGTAGTGTTACTGCAATATTTCTGGAATGATGTACAACATAGTAACTCACAATAATATGCTGCAACGTTACTGCAATATTACAATACAAAAGCTTGCAGTAATATTGCATCAACATTGCAGTATTCCAGCAATATTGCACCAACATTGCAATATTACTGCAAGCTAGCACTGCAGTAACATTAGAAATGTTGCAGCAATGTTGCTGTAAGCTTCTGTACTGTATAAGGTTCTGGAGCTTGCAGTTCTGAACGCGGGTCTGAACTTTCGAAACTACTGGCTGTGCAAATTAAATCCGCGTCACATAAATAAACAGAATTTGTGTATACACGTATGTTCAACGGTGTGTTACGTCGAACCGCGAAGCACGGATGCTGTTCCGAAAGATAGTAATTGGGTGAGAGATAAGACGTATTCACTGACGACAATTGTCCGTCTTGTCATTCGCGGAATAAATTGCCAGGTCATAGATTACATTTTGGGGTATATGCACTTACGTTTTGTTTCTGTAATCTCTATTTTTGTGATACCTTTTATCGGAAGCCGTCCGACGATTGGATAAGTTTCACTTCGGAAGAACGCGTGTCTGAAAACGAGAAGCAGTGAAGCTTTTCGATCCTTCCATGAAGCTGGACGACTTTATTTTTTTCCAGTGTATTCGAGATTACTCTACGGCAGGCCAGGCATAAAACCGCCTAAGGGATTTTCATTTCTGTGAGTAAGGAATCGCGGAGACGCGGTGACATCATCTAGGAATTCGCATACGCTTTTAATTCTGGAGAAGGGAAGAGGTGCATGCACGTCGTTATTTCCTCACATTATTAACTATATCTTGTTCTTTCTCTCTCTCTCTCTCTCTCTCTCTCTCTCTCTTTCTCTCTATCTTTTTTCGATATCTATCTTTTTCTGCTCCTTTTATTCTCGATCTCAATGGGAAGTATTATTTCATTTACGACGGAACAAGTTGAGATATGAAGATCCAAAGAGAAGAATTCACGAAAGCGAGAAGCCGAGTTAGGGAAATCGAGGAAAGATTCTCAAGGAGAGATTTACATCTCTCGACATCCCAGAGATCTAAAGTTCAATATACAGACGGCGATTCGTGCGCTGTTTTTCTAGAAGACTGTTGCAGACTAAAGAATTGGCAAGTAATGCGAAACAAACGACCGAAGTCAACGGGGTTATTGTCCCGTTTGTGTATTGTGGAAGTCCCTCATGATTTTTTTTGCCACGAGCGCTGATCGTGTTTGCCTCCCAGGAAGGAACCTAATAAAATCGTCGCGTCGATTAAGGGAATTATCTGCACCTGCAAAGGCATCTCCGGCCCGCTAACGGTAAGCCGAGATTTTGCGCGGCGCAAGAAAGGTCAGATTCCATGCATTTACGGCGCGAGAGGCACCAGCCGCGATCGCTTACTCATTGCTTCGTACGGGAAAATCAACGTTCGTATTCGGGGAATCAAAAACGTTCATCCGAAATCATTAGATTGCTGTCGAAAATTTTACGATGTTTTACCGAATGCATTGACGGATCTAAAAATTTGTCAAGGGAGGGGTCCATTAGCATATCAAAACAAAATTTTTTTGAAATCAAATATGAAAAGGTAGAATATTAAATTATTTAAATTATTGAAAGGTAACTTACTTAATTTCATAAAAAACATTCATAAATATTTTAAAATTATATTTTAAAAAGAATGATTAAAAAAAAATGTCAAAATTGTTACAACTCAAAAAAAAGTGATTTTGAAAAATTAATTAAATTATTAATTAAATAAAACAAAAATGACAAAAATAATGTTTGATCACATTAAGAATATATTCTTTTTGCTGATATTATTTAATAAATCAATAATTTTCTGTCGAGTTAAAAAATAATCTTTTTCTTTTTCTGAGGAACTTAATTTTTTTAATTGTGTCATTTTTGAAGTAAGGAAGCGATGTGTCATTATTCTGTATTTTACACTTTATCTTGAGTTTTGACATCGTTATGTGACTGTTTTTCTTTTAAGAGACACAAATGTTTATCTTTCTTTATTCAATGAATGACAAAGATAGAATGACACGTATTGCCTGTATCTCCCAAAAGGAAAGCAGCCATTTTACATTATCTTAAGTGTTGACGTCTCCGTATCTTTGACAATGAATTTCTTACTCTTTTGCTTCGAATCCCAAAAAAATCTTCGAATTTTAGAATTATTTCTTTTTATTCGGCGATCCCGCGAGACGTTATGGAACACGGAACACGAGCTAATGTAATCCGCAATGCTCTCTACGACAAATCGGGCCAGTGCCATTTATTGTCCTACATTTGGAGATCGCAGGTCACCTTTCACCATCTATGCGATGCATTTCAAATAAAAATCCTCGGACGCTCCTCTTTCGAAGTTGGTAGTCTTGTTATTTCAAACATCCTCATGCGAATGTTTGCGTTGCTCTGAACGGTTTTGCAGTAAAAATTAATTATTTTAGATATATCGCGTTGATAAAGAAATAATAAATAACAGAAATAAAAAATTAGCATTTTTGAAATAATGAAAGGAAATCAACTCTTAAAGATTAACATATTTTTGTGGAAAGACGACATACATTTGTGGATATTATACTTATATAGAAAAGTGTCACAATTTTAATAAAGAATGAAATTTATACAATCTTATATTAGAGTTGCAGTGTTTGAATTTCGAAAACTCATGACATAGTTTTAAAGAATATATTATAATTGAAAATATAACGCGGAAAACAAATTAGTATACAACATTAGAAAGGAAGTTATGTACAATCATTATCTTCATTAAAACATCGTTCTAATTTAGAAAAAAAAAAATGTTTTACTGAAAAGTTATTTATTTTTGAGACGTGTCACTTTATTTTTATCAACTCGATGATACAGGAAAGAATGATTTTGTTGAATTTAACTAGATACAGATCTGAAAATAATTTTTTTATATATATAAAATAGAGATATATATGAATAAATATAATAGAAATGTATAAAAT